TGCAGCATATTGATTCAGTTATACATATATATATATTTGTCTTTTCATATTCTTTATCATTATAGGTTATTACAAGATAATGAATATAGCTCCCTGTGCTAAACAGTAGGACCTTATTATTTATCTATTTTGTGTATAGTAGTATCTGCAAATCCCAGACTCCTAATTTATCCTCCTCCCACCCAAACCATCCCTCACCATAACCAAAAAATAAGGAACGCTTCATGAATTTGCATGTCATTCTTGCACAGGGGCCATGCTAATCTTCTCTGTATTCCAATTATAGCATATGTGCTGCCAAAGCAAACACATTTGTGTCATATTTTATATTCTGTTATTTTAGATATGTCATATTGTATGGTATTTGTCTTTCTCTTTCTGACTTACTTCATTTAGGGTGATAATCTCTCAGTCCATCCATGTTGCTGCAAATGGCATTATTTCATTCCTTTTTATGGCTGAGTAGTATTCCATCATGTATATATACCACATTTTCTTTATCCATTCATCTGTCGATGGACATTCAGTAGGTTGCTGACATGTCTTGGCTGTTGTAAATAGTGCTGGTGTGAACATCGGAGTGCATGTATCTTTTTGAATTAAAGTTTTCTCCAGATATATGCCCAGAAGTGGGATTCCTGGATCATTTGGCAACTCTATTCTTAGTTAACCTCCATACTGCTCTCCATAGAGGCTACACCACCAATTTACATTCCCATCAACAGTGTAGGAGGGTTCCCTTTTCTCCACACCCTCTCCATCATGTTATTTGTAGACTTTTTAATGATGGTCATTCTGACCAGTGTGAGGTGGTACCTCATTGTAGTTTTGATTTGCATTTCTCTAATAATTAGTGATGTTGAACATCTTTTCATGTGCCTATTGGCCATCTGTATGTCTTTTTTTGAGAAATGTCTGTTTAGATCTTCTGCCCACTTTTTGATTGGATTGTTTGTCTTTTTGTTACTGACTTGTATGAGCTTGTTTATATATTTTGGAAATTAAGCCTTTGTCAGTCACATCATTTGCAAATATTTTCTCCAGATTTGTGGGTTGTCTTTTCCTTTTGTTGATGGTTTCCTTTGCTGTGCAAAAGCTTGTAAGTTTGGTTAGGTCTCATTTGTTTACTTTTGCTTTTATTTCTATTGCTTCGGGAGACTGACCTAAGAAAACATTCCTACAATTTATGTCAGAGAGTGTTTTATGTTCTCTTCTAGGAGTTTCATGGTGTAATATCTTATATTTAAATCTTTAAGCCATTTTGAGTTTGTGTATGGTGTGAGAGTGTATTCTAACTTCATTAATTTACATGCAGCTCTCCAGCTTTCCCAGCACCACTTGCTGAAGAGACTGTCTTCTCCATTGTATATTCTTGCCTCCTTTGTCGAAGATTAATTGACTATAGGTGTGTGGCTTTATTTCTGGGCTCCCTATTCTATTTCACTGATGCATACATCTGTTTTTGTGCCAGTACCATGCAGATTTGATTACTGTAGCTTTTAGTATTACCTGAAGTCTAGGAGAGTTATGCCTCCAGTTTTGTTCTTTTTCCTCAGAAAAGAATTGCATTGGCAATTCCAGGTCTTCCATGGTTCCATATAAATTTTAGGCTTATTTGTTCTAGTCCTGTGAGAAAACATCATGGGTAATTTGATAGGGATTGCGGTTAAATCTGTAGATCACTTTGGGTAGTATGGCTATTTTAACAATGTTAATTCTTTCAGTCTAAGAGCATGGGACATTATTCCATTTCTTTGAATCATCTTCAGTTTCCTTTATCAGTGTTTTGCAGTTCTCAGCATATAAGTCTGTCACCTCTTTGGTCAGGTTTATTCCTTTTTTTTTTTTTTGATGTGATTTTAAAATGGATTTTTTTCTTTCCCTTTCTGATACTTCATTGTTAGTGTAAAGAAATGCAACAGATTTCTATATGTTAATCTTGTATCCTGCTGCCTGGCTGAATTCATTTATCAGCTCTAGTAGTTTTTGTGTTGAGTCTTTAGAGTTTTCTGTATATAGTGTATCATGTCATCTGCATATAATGACAATTTTACCTGTTCTCTTCCAATTTGGATAACTTTTATTTCTTTTTCTTGTCTGATTGCTGGACTAGGACTTCCAATACTATGTTGAATAGAAGTGGTGAGAGTAGGCATCCTTGCCTTGTTCCAGATTTTAGTGGGAAGACTTTTAAACTTTTCACTGTTGAGGAATATATTGGCTGTGGGTTTGTCATAAATAGCCTTTATTATGTTGAGATATGTTTACTCTATACCCACTTTGGTAAGAATTTTTTCATGATTGGATGTTGAATTTTGTTAAATGCTTTTTCTACATCTTGACAATAGTCAATTTTTATCAGATGAAAACTTTTTAAAGAAAAGCCAGAAATCCAGAGATTTTGAGATATATTTTTGAGATTTAACAAAAAGTACTGGTAACTGTTTAAACACCACGTAGGCAAAAATAACATCTGCAACACAGCCTTACCTCTGGATAATGGTTTATAATCTCTGATAGAGACCAAACTTTTAGCTTAATCTTTTTGTTTGTTTCCCAACCTAATTGTTTTCTCAGTTGAGGTGAAATTCATATCACATCAAATTAACCATGTTAAAGTGAAGAACTCAGTGGCATTAGATAGTTTTATAATGTTGTACAACTACCACCTCTTATCTAGTTCCAAAACATTTTTATTACCCCAAAATAAAACTCAGTACTCATTAAGTAGTTACTCCTTCTTTGCTCCTCCCCTACCTCTGGCAATCACCAGTCTGCTTTCTGTGTCCATAAATTAACCTATTCTGAATATTTCATATAGATGGGATCATATAATATGTGACTTTTTGTGTCTGGCTTCTTTACTTAGCATGATGTTTTTCATATTTATCCACCTTGTAACATGTATTGGTACTTCATTCCTTTTTAAATAGCCAAATGTATTCCGTTTGTATGTATGTATCACAATTTGTTTATCCATTCTTCCATTTATAGGGTTATTTTCACTTTTTGGCTATTAGGAATAGTGTTGCTATCAATATTCATGAACTAGTATTTGTCTGAGTACCTGTTTCCCATTCTTTGAGGTATATAACTGACAGAGGGATTGCTAGATTATATGGTAGTTCTGTGTTTAACTTTTTGAGGAACTGTCAAACTGTTTTCCACAGCAACTGAATCGATTTATATTCCCACCAAGGTATGAATATTCCATTTTCTCCACCTCCTTGCCAACACTCAGTATTATCCTTTAAAAAAAATTATAGCCATCCGAGTGTGTGTGAAGTGGTATCACATTGTGATTTTGATTTGCATTTCCCTAATAATTAATGTTGTTGAGCATCTTTTCATATGCCTATTGGCCGTTTGTATATTTTCTTTGGAGAAACCTCTATTTGAGTTCTTTGCCAATTTTTAAATTGGATTGTTTGTGTTTTTGTCATTGGGTTGTAAGAATTCTTTATGTAATCTGGATACCAGACCTTTATCAGATATATAACTTGCAAATATTTTCTTTCAATATATAGGTTGTATTTTCACTTTCTTAACAATATCGTTTGGTGGAGTCCAGATTATTATTTTTTTCTTTTGTTGCTTGTGCTTTTGGTGTCATATCTGAGAATCCATTGTCTCATCTAAAGTCATGAAGATTTACCCCTAATTTTTCTTCTAAGAGTTATATGGTTTTAGTTCTTATATTTAGGTCAGTAATCCATTTTGACTTAATTTTTATATGTAGTGTGAAATAAGGGTAACACTATTATTTTGCGTATGAATACCCAGTTCTCCCAGCCCTATTTGTTGAAGAAACTATTCTTTCTCCATTTGAATGATTGTGGCGTCATTATTGAAAATCTGTTGAGCATTCAACAGGAGTGAGAAAAGATACTCAACATCACTAATTATTAGAGAAATGCAAATTAAAACTACAGTGAGGAATCACCTCACACCAATAAGAATGGCCATCATCAGAAAGTCCACAAATGATAAATACTGGACAGGATGTGGGAAAAAGGGAACCCTCCTACATTGTTGGTGGGAATATAAATTGGTGGTGTAGCCTCTATGGAGAGCAGTATGGAGGTTCCTTAAATAACTAAAAATAGATTTACCATATGATCCAGCAATCCCACTCTTGGACATATATCTGGAGAAAACTCTAATTTGAACTCTGATTTCTATGTAAGAGCACCCTAGTGTTCACTATTTACAATAGCCAAGACATGGAAGCAACCTAAATGTCCATCAATAGATGATTATTTTATAAAGAAGATGTGGTATATATATACAATGGAATACTACTCAGCCACAAAAAGGAATGAAATAATGCCATTTGCAGCAACATGGATGGGCCTAGAGATTTTCATACTAAGTGAAGTAAGTCAGACAGAGAAAGACAAATATCATATGACATCACTCATATATGGAATCTAAAAAAGTGATACAAGTGAACATATCTACAAAACAGAAAGAGACTTATAGACATAGAAAACAAACTTATGGTTACCAGCAGGGAAAGGGGAGAGAGAGGGATAACTTGGGAGTTTGGAATTGGTAGGTACAAACTATGGGCAGAATAGATAAACAATAAGGTCCTACTATATAGCACAGGAAACTATATTCAATGGCTTGTGGAAGTAACCTGTAATGAAAGAGAGAGAGTATATGTGTATATTATATGTAAAATAAATAAATAAAATCAACAGATGATATTTAAATGAGAAAAAAAGAAATCATGAAAATCTATTGGCCATGTATGTTATGAATTTATTTCTGGACTTTCAGTCCTATTCTATTGAACTATATATCCTTATGCCAATACCACACTGTCTTAATTGCTGTAGTTTTATAGTAAGTTTTGAAATTGGGAAGTATGAGTACTCCAACTTTTTTCTTTTTCAGTATTACTTTGGCTATTCAGGGACTCTTAAAGCTCTATATGAATTTGGGAATTGACTTTTCCAATCCTACAAGAAAAACAACAAACAGGCTGTTGGAATTTTTATAGGAATTGTATTGAATCTGTATATTGCCTTGTATAATATTGCCATCTTAACAGTAATCAGTCTTCCAGTCCTTGGACATGGATGTTTTTCCATTTATTTATGTTTTCTTAATTTCTTTCAGCAGTGTTATAGTTTTCAGCATGCAAGTCTTTCACCTCCTTGGTTAAATTTATTCCTAGGTATTTTATTCTTTGGGATGTTCTTATAAATTTGTTTTCTTAATTTCCTGTTAGGATTGTTCATTGCTATTATGAATTACAGTGTATTAGCAATACAACAGATTTTTGTGTTGAACCTTGCAACT